CCATATCATATTATTTATTATATTTATGCTACATTATTATATCAAATATTATATTATTATATTATATTAATTGTATCAAATTATCAGTAATGGGATTATTTGGACATGATGAGTCACTTAACTCTTACTGCTTTCAACATGCTCTTTTTATATTTTACTTTTGGGAGTTTGATTATGTGTCTCAATGTGGATCTTCTTGAGAATAGCTTATTTGGAGTTTGTAAAGATTCTTGGACATACAGATTCATATCTTACACCAAACCTAGAACATTTATAACAGTATTCTTTAAGTATTTTCTCTACCATGCTCTCTCTTCTCTCTTTATGGGACTCCATTATGCATGTGTTGGTACACTTGATGGGGTCTCACGTTTTTCTGAGATCTATTTTTTTCCATTATTCTTTTTTCTTTCTCTTCTTCAGACTGGATAATCTCAATAATTTTATATTCAAGTTAATTAATTATTTTTTGACTACTCAAATATGCTTTTGATACCATTTGTGCATTTTTCATTTCAGTTATTATACTTTTAAATATAAGAAAATCTACCATTGCTTTAGAGGAGATTTTGGTTTCCCTACTCTAGTTTTAGTGTCATTACTTTTTACCTTCAGACTTTTCCTTCCAAATCCTGGGTATGGATTATGTTTAACTAAGCCTAACTTAAAAAGTACGTGTATCAGCCCTGAGGAGTAAGGAGTGAGACCTGAAGTGCTGCCCTGATCTCTAATTTCAAGATGTTTAAGAGAAGCAGCAATAGTGAAGAATGCAGTGAGCTCGGCCATGGGGCGCATGTTGCACTATTAGCCTACATGTGGCAACTTTTATTTTCAGCAGTATTCTTCTCTGTTTAAAAAATTCCAGAGCATTTACCAAACTGATTTTGACAGTTTTCTCAACTGAATCATTGCTTTAGTGGAGAAATAAATTTTTTGTTCCAAAATCAAATTCCTAGAACACCACTCTGCAAACCTGCTGTCTTACCCTCAGTCTGCCCCTCCCAAGTCTGAGATGAGGTCTGTGTTTAACGAGGCTCACATTAAGGACAAGTGCAGCAGTGTCTACAGGGCCTGGGAACCACAGTGACTCCTCCTCTCCTCCAGAGTTCCGGCTGGTCAACGGCAGCAACAGCTGTGAGGGACATGTGGAGGTCCATGTGCAGGGAACCTGGGCACCCGTCTGTGCCACCCACTGGGACTTGGCAGACGCCACAGTCCTCTGTCACCAACTCAACTGTGGCAATGTGGTGGCCATACCCCAAGGAGGGCATTTTGGGGAAGGAGAAGGTCCCATCTGGCCAGATGTGTTTCACTGCGTGGGGACAGAGCCCCATTTGTTGAGCTGCCCAGCAAGCACCCTGGGGGCCCCGGCCTGTGCCCAAGGAAACATGGCCTCTGCCATCTGCTCAGGTGGGTGCATTGCATGCAGAGTGTGAGATGGGCAGTCGGGTGGACACAGGGCTAGGCAGTCGGCAAGACAGGAGGTTATTCAGGGTGGATAATAGATACGTCACACATATGTTAAAAGCTGGGTTGGTAAGGCAGGCTGGGAAGAAGTGGCAGGTGGGAGAATTGGTGGGGGAAAGAAGAGATTTTGGATAGAAGAGGAGAAAGGGACAAGAAGACTTGAGGGGAAGAAGAAAGGCAGCTCGAAGGGAAGGAGAGACAGCAGGACAATTTCTTTCCCAGGACGCCCCCATGCCCTGAGGCTGAGGGACGGACAGAGTCACTGTGATGGCCGTGTGGAGATCTTCCTGGGTGACGTGTGGGGCCGTGTGTTGGATGATGCTTGGGACCTGCGCGGGGCACAAGTCGTGTGCCGGCAGCTCGGTTGCGGACTAGCTGAGCGAGCCTACGATGCACCTGCCCCTGGCCACAGGGCATTCCCGGTGGGACTGAGCCGTGCACGCTGCCTGGGCACTGAGACCCAGCTGACCCAGTGCAACGTGTCCACAACCCTGCTGGTGCCTGCCGGAAGCTCACGGGATGCAGGTGTTGTATGTTCTGGTGAGTGTGGAACCCCATCCTCCTACCCTTCCTCCCCGTCCCCATCCCCCGTGTGTCCTGTGGGGCCCTGACTGAGTCTCTCTGCAGGAAGTGTCCTGGTCAGACTGGCTGAGGGCCCAGGCCGATGTGCAGGGCGTGTGGAGGTGTTCCACGAGGGTGAGTGGGGCACCGTGTGTGATGATGCCTGGGACCTGCAGGATGCGCATGTGGTCTGCAGACAACTGGGCTGCGGCCGTGCTCTCAGTGCCCTGGGGGCCACCCACTTTGGGGCTGGATCTGGGCGCATCTGGATGGACCAGCTGGGCTGCCAGGGCAACGAGTCTGCACTGTGGCAGTGTCCATTCTGGGGATGGGGCCGGCATGACTGTGGGCACAAGGAGGACGCCGGGGTCTTCTGCTCAGGTGGGTATAGTCGATCACCCTCATCTTCTCACTCATCTACTCAGACAAAGCTGGGCCTTGCTGACTGGCCTCTCTGTCCTCAGAGTTCACGGATCTGAGGCTGCAGAACCACAGCCAGCCATGTGCAGGGAGGCTGGAAGTTTTCTACAATGGGACCTGGGGTGGTGTCTGCCAGAGCCTGAGTGCTGCCTCCCTGGGAGTCCTGTGTGAGCAGCTGGGCTGTGGGCCCCAAGGGCAGCTGCAGGCCAGGGTGGGGAGCTGGCCTCTCCCTGGGGCTCTGTGGGTGGCCTCCATTCAGTGCAGAGCCAGGCATGACAGGACTCTTTGGCAGTGCCCCTCAGCCCCCTGGAACCAGCATTCTTGCTCCAGCCAGGAGGAAGCCTGGGTCATATGTGCAGGTGAGTGTGGGGTGGGGTAGGAGTCTGTGTGTGTTAGTGTGGCGGTGAGGATTGTTACCTGTGAGGGGCTGGGCACTGCATCTTCTTGTGGCCTTATCCTGAGATGCGATGCCCATCTTCACTTCTTATTCCCTGGGTTGTTGTGATCCAGTAAAGGGTCAGGGTCGCTGCCCTGCTCTCTGCGCTGTGAGTGGGTCATCTGGAGTCTTTTGAGATCCCTGTTCTTCACCTGTGGGGGAATAGGACCACCGTGCTCACTGTGCATCTCCTGAGGACATTTCACAGGGACATGATCCCATGGAGAAGTCTCTGGAACAGTTTGTGGAATCTCTCAGCCTGTGTAGATATTATTTACTTATGTAGATAGAATTATGCTCGTGTAGCAGGCTGAAATTCCTAGTTGAATTACTTGGAGAGAAAAAGAAAAAGAGGGGAACCAGCAGTTAGCGTAATGGCTATGTTGCTGGACTCCCACGTAGTTGACCGCAGTTCGCGTCCTGGACCCGGTGGCTTAGAACTCACGCTGGGCGCGTGTGTGTGCGTGCCCAAGATCCCGAGAGGAGAATGGAGGGGAAGGGATTGCAGCGTGGCCATTCCCCCTGGGAGGTGATTTCTTGCTTTCTGTCTCTTTCTCTCTCTGTCTGTCTGGCGAGCGCATGCGCCCTATAGCGAAAAAACCTCTCCAAAAATATAAAGGGGGGGGGAAGATAATCCATATTTTTCAGCATTTGAAGCTGCTTCAAATACAGAGATATGTCTCAATATACTTCACAGAAAAGACAGAAATTCCTCAGGGACCTGAGAAGACCCTGAACTGCTCATCCACACACGACTGTCCAGGTATCCCTCTGTCCATATCCTTGTCCACTTCCCCATCCTATCCCAGTCCCACAGTGACCAAAGCCTCCTTTTCCAGAGGAGGGTATGCTGCGTGTGCATGGTGGCCAGGATAGCTGCTCTGGGCGCGTGGAGCTCTGGCATGCAGGTTCCTGGGGCACAGTGTGTGATGATTCCTGGGATCTGGCTGATGCGGAGGTCGTGTGCCACCAGCTGGGCTGTGGCAAGGCCATTGAAGCTCTACAGGAGGCTGCCTTTGGCCCTGGCTCTGGGCCCGTGTGGCTGGATGAGGTGAGGTGCCGGGGCAGCGAGATGTCCCTGTGGGGATGCCCAGCCCAGCCTTGGGGACGTGGAGACTGCACACACAAGGAGGATGCTGGTGTGCGCTGCTCAGGTGAGTGGGTGGGGAAGGTGTGTCATGATGCCTGAAATTTAGCAGAGGAGGGTCCAATATTTTGTCATAAATTCCTTTCTTTTGTCACTTCTGTGGCCAGGGGAACAAGTGCCAGGTTTTAGTGGGTTTCCAACATTTTTTTTCTGGGTAAGGTGTTTGGATGTAGAGGGCCGGCTGGGTAAGCACCATCTGGATTTTCTTTCATCTTTTTTTTTTTCTTCTTTTTTTTAATATATAGAGATTTTTGCTATTGGGTGCACGCACTCACCCAATAACAAAAGAGACAGAGACAGAGAGACAGAAAGTGATTAATCACCCCTGAGGGGATGATCACACCACAATCCCTTCTCCATTCTCCTCTTGGGATTTTGGACACACACATACACGCGCCCATCATGAATTTTAAACTGCCGGTTCCAGAACTTGAGCCATGGTGAATTATGTGGAAGTCTAGCGATGTAACCATTATGCCATCTGCTGGCTCCTCCTCTAGTCTTTTTAGGGACGTCTGTTGTGTTTACACACAATCTATGTTGACTTCAGAAGAGGTGGGGGTCATCTGGGTGTTGGAAGCTTCTAATATGGAGACACTGTCTTGACTCCTGAACACTGCACTTAATTCTTTCTGCAAAGAACAGATAACCATAGTAGTGATGTTAGAAAAATTGGCAGGTATGAGTAACTTTTATTGAGCAAGCATCTGAGACATGCCATGTGCCCATAAGTCTCCTTGTGTGCCTACTTAGTAGCTTTTTTTCAAGACCATGTTAACGATTATTTACTAAAAAGGGAGAACTGCCCCATGAGGGTAGAAACCTCACCCTTCCCACCAGTGGATACCAACCAGTTCTGTGGTGCTCTGCCCAACTCTGGCAAGCAGATGCCTTCCCATCTTATAACTTCTAACACCACATGCCACCCATAGGGTGAGGTGTGGGTATTGCTCCTGATAGCCACCTCTTCCGCTAAGAGGCACATACCTCTTGCTCCCACCCAGGTGACTCATGTCCTTTCCTTCCTCAGAGTCTGACACCCCACTGGCTACAGAGCTCTGCGCAATGCTCAGGACAGTCAGCACCATCCTGGGGATCTTTTTTGGTCTTCTCCTTCTGGGCTTCATGGTCTTTCTGATTCTGCTTCAAGTCACACAAGCCAAGCAGAAGGGTATGTGCACGTCCATTTCAATCTCAAAAGCTAACATGGTTAAAACAGCCCCAACCTGGTATTGGGGTCTATGCAGCAGAGTTTCACTTAAAGCAGCCTTTCATTGCTCAAAGAGAGGGACTTAGACATTTGAGTTTCCCCTGGCTCTTGGGACTCTGAGATGAACCCATGAAGTTCCCCTGGACACTACACCTTGACCCATGGTTTACTTAATGAGAAATGCTTGTCAAGGAGGATGCTGGTCTTCCCATTCTAGGCAGAGAATTCTGCCTCTTTTCTGCTTGTGTGGGATTTCTATCTGGAGATGTTGCCTTCCCCTGCCCACAGTCACACCCACCAGATGGTTTCTGTGTGACTATGTCCACCTTGCTTCAGGTCTGGAAAGGTCTGAGGCATGTTCTGGAGAAGCCACCTACGATGTCATCATGGAAATGCCACAGGCAGCACTGTATGAGGAAATTGTGGAAGCTGAGGGTGAGGATAAAGGTGTGATGAAGATGGTTATTTCAGTTGAAAGTAGGTTTTCCTTCCCAGCTTGGGAGGGAAGCCCTAGGGCGGGGCTCTGGATGTTGACAACAAAATGCAGCAGAGGGGAAAAAATCTCAATATGGACATCTAGGTCTAGAATGTCTGTGACCCTAGAGTAAAGATGCCAGGATACCCAAAGCCGTGGGAGGGCAGGACCAAACCAGTGAAAGCAAGGTCAGCAGTTGGGGTCCTAATGAGGTCAGGCAAGGGGCTAGGATCTGTGGATCTGGCAGATGAGTACACCAGAATTTCTTGATGGATTGTGGCTCACTCAGCCTTGGAGCCTTTACCTGTGTGGTGAGCATAATAAAACTAATAGTACTGCTATCACAGGATGATTAAGGAGCTCCTGTGTCAAGATACTTGGAGCACTGTCAGGTGTTTTTCCTTGATGTTTCTATGCATCTCCAACAAGAAAGGCTTCTTAAAACCAGATCATGGTTTACCATATGTGAATTTTGGGACAGTTTACACATTGTACCTATATGGTAATGTGGTATCTCTTGTGCTAGTTTCAGGGGGGTTGTCTAACCTCTTAGATGGACAGTCTGTAACCGAGGAGGGTGAAGATGGCGAATCTCTTTCTCAAGGCTATGATGAGGCTGCATTTCCCCTGGAGGAGATGATACTGTAAAGCATCCTGAAGATGAAGTACTTCAGAAGATAGTGTCAAAATCACTTCTTTAATTACTTTTATAATCATATTGAATTTCATAAGGACATGGATACATTTCTCTTAGTGCAGCATCGAGTCACCCTGATAAAATCCAAGTTCTCTTGGACCTGTCTTTTATCCCTGTCGCTTCTATTCACCATTCCCAGTTATGCAGTAGAACTTTTAGATTTCCTATGCATCTATGATAACAGCAAATGTATATATCTGTGCTTTGTGTTTTCTTAGAAATATGAATTGTACCATCTTTATATATTATTCTTAACTAGCTTTTGCTACCCAACAGTGTGTTGGAAAGCTTGTTCTATTAGAAGATATCTATTGTTTCTCTTGAAAAAAAAAAAAGAAAAAAAAGAAAAAAAAGATATCTGTTGTAATATCGCCTGTTTCATTGCTGATTTTATTTATCTCACTATTCTCTTTGTTTTTCTTGATTAGTCTAACTAATGGTGTGTCAATTTTATTTTATTTTATTTCAAGTTCTTTTATACATTCAGTCACATTATTTAGCTTGCAAAGTGAATATTCCATGTGTATATTTCTCCCAAGTCCAGTTGATAGTACTATAAAATTATCTTCAACAGATAATACCCTATTTCTTTGTCCCATTAATGCTATGTCTCTCTATTTTTGCTAAGACTTGGATTCAGCCCAAATGTCCAAGAACAGATGAACGGATTGGAAAAAATGTGGCACATATACACTAAGGAATACTGTTCAGTCATAAAGAACAATGAGACTCTGACATTTGATTTAAAGTGGGCAATTATGGCAGATTTAATGCTACATGAAACAAGACAGACTATGAAAGAGAGGCACTGTATGTCCCTGCTTAATATATACTGAATGTTTGCAGTCTATGGTAGAAACTGAAAGACTAGAAGACTTAATAGCAGGAAGGGAAGCTGAAGATACTAGAAACAGTGTAGGAGCGGGGTGGATTACAGGAGAAAGGAGGGAGAGAATCAGGGGAAAAAAAGAAGCATTTAACAGAAACAAAAATGAAAAGTTATATATTGATGATAATGTACAAGGTAATAATTATTACTTGACTCTTTGTACTGTAATCACACTGGAAAAAACATTTTGTCTGCTGTAAATATGTACAGTGATTAAATATAAATAAAAGATAGTTATTAAAAAAGATTGTTATCTTCTTTTTTTCCTAGAAAAGTCTACTTAATTGAATTCAAAGTATCTTTTAGATTTTCTACAAGCATAATCACATCATCTGTGAATAATGTCAGAACTATCCTGTCCTTCCCAATCCTTATATCTTTAACCTCTTTTTTCTGTGCCTTATGTAATGGCCCAGGACCTTCCATCCGATGTTAAATAAAGGTAGGACAATGGATGCCTTGTCTCATTTATGACCTCAGAATGAAAGTGTCCCATATTTCATTTCACTATTAAATATATTTCGCCAGTTGTGGTGGTGTACCTTACTACAACACTGTGCTCTACAGGCTGAGACCACATAGAAGCCTGCTGCTGATTCCTAGTCCAACCTAAAGGTGAGGCACTGTAGTACCTGTCATCCCAGTGAAGTGAGCAGGGTGAGGCTGGAGGACTCTGAATTTGAGCCTGGCATGGGCAATATAGTAAAAAACAAAATAAGACAAAACTATTTTTATGCTCATTTTTTTGTAGATGACACTTATCAGATTAAAAAAAGAAAAAAAAAAGCTGCTTGAAAAACACACTGGTCCCGAATGATCATTCATTTTTAACTTTCAACATTCTAGCAGTTTTATGGTGGCATATCCTTTGAATTTTAATTTGTATTTACTTAATGACTAATGATGTTGAATACCTTATCATGTGCTTATTTGCCATCTGTATCTTCTTTTTGTTGAAAAATCTGTTAAAAAATTGGTCCATTTTTATTGGATTGAGTTTTGAACACTCTTTATCTATTCTGGGCATAAGTTCTTACAAATATTTTCTCCCTATCTGTGGTGTGTCTTTCCATTCTTTTTTTCAGAAACAGATCTTTGCTATAGATCACGTGGACTCACCAGAGAGATGGAGAGACAGAAAGGAAGAAATCACCCCCCAGGAGAATTTCAATGCTGCAGTCCTTTCTCTTCTAGTTTCCTCTTGGGATTTTAGATATGCATGCACATGCACCCAGCTTGAGTTTCCTGCCTCTGGATCTGGGACTTGAACTGTGGTTGACCATGTGGGAGTCCAGCAATGTAAATATTATGCCATCTGGTGGTCCTGTGTCTTTTCATTCTTAATAGCATCTTTCAAAAATCAAATTAGAAATAGATTTTGGATTTTGTTAGATACTTTTCTTTGCACCCATTGAGATAATTGTATGTTTTGGTTTATTTAGTCTGTTAATATGATGAATTAAATTTAATTGATCTTCAAATGTTAAACCCTACTTGAATTCCTGTATAAATCTCATTTAGTTATGGCATATTAATCTTTTTCATGTATTGTTAGATTCAATTAGCTAAAATTTTGTTCAGAAAATTTGCATCTAAGTTTATGAAGTATTGGAATTTAGTTTTCTTGTTATGTGTTTCTTTGGTTTTAAAACAAAGTAACACTGGCCTCACAGAATGAATTTTGAGAGTATTATTTCCTGTTTCATTTGAATTTCATGAGAAAGTTCATGTAAAATGGTTTTATTTCTTTTTAAAAGTTTTGGAAGAATTCACCAGGAAAACCAATGGGGCTTGAAGTTTTATTTGTTAAAAGGTTTTTTGTTTGTTTCTGTTTATAGATTTTTTTTTGCCACAGGGAGCATGTGTTTTCCAGAGACAGAGAGAGGGAGAGTGGGGAACGCCCTCCCCCTGCTCCACCCTGGGAGGGGGTGGCCATGTGCAATCTCCTCCATTCTCCTCTTGGGATTTTGGGTACACATGCAAAAATACCTGGTGTGATTTTCAAGCTGCTGGCTCTGGAACTCCAACTGTAGGTAGCCATGCAGGAGCCCAGTGCCTTAACCAATATGCCTCTTGCTGGCCCCAAATTTAGTATTTTAATAGATGCAAGTTATTCTTGTGATCTATTTCTTTGTGCATAAAAATGTTTAGTTTGTATATTTCAAGGAATTTGTCCATTTTATGTATATTTTCTAGTTTGCTGGAATAAAATTGTTTATATTGTTACCTATTTTCCTTTTGAAACCTACGCAATCTGTAGTGATATCATGCCTTTCATTCTTAATATTGGTAATTTGTGTCTTTGTTCTTTTTCTTGTTTCAGTCTGGCTAGAGGTTTATTAATTTTATTTATCTTTTTGATGAACCAGCCTTTAACTTTCTTTATTGTTTTCTGATTTCTATTTTATTGATTGCCTCACCAATTTTTTACTATTTCCTTATTTCTAATTACTTTGTGCTTAATTTACTCTTCTTCTCATTTCTTATAAATGAGGTTAAACTAGGTCATTAATTGTCATTCTAGGAAAGGGAGGACTTCAAACCTCTTATCCTTGGCTGTGGAGCCTTTAAACTGCACAATTAGAAAAGTCTTTCCTATTGCAGGTTTTACTTTTTTTTTTTTTTTTTTTGTAGGGCGCGTGCGCTCGCCAGACAGAGAGAGACATAGAGACAGAAAGCAAGAAATCACCCCCCAGGGGGGATGGTCACGCCACAATCCCTTCTTCTCCATTCTCCTCTCTGGATCTTGGGCACACATGCACACGCACCCGGTGTGAGTTTTAAGCCACCGGGTCTGGGACGTGAACCACAGTCTACTCTGTGAGAGTCCAGCGACATAGCCATTACGCTAACTGCTGGTTCCCTTGCAGGTTTTACTTTTCAAAGATAACCACAACATCTCTCTTATGTATTATTCCTGTGTGACCTTACCACAGTCTCATCAAGAAAGGGAATATAATCTCCAACCTTGTATCTGGGTCTGCCTTAGTGACTTGATTGACCAGTAAAGGCAGCAAAAGGGGTGTTCTGAGACTTCTGAGCCTGGGTCAGAAGAAGCCTTACAAGTTCTGTGTGGATCTTGGGATATTCCCTGTGGAAACCCAGCTGCCATGCTGGAAGAAGCTCAAGATGCATGAAAAAGCCCATGTAGGTATTCAAGTTGACAGTCATATGAGCAAGAAACTTTGCACCCCAGCCCAACTGAGCCTTCATAACTCTGGTCTCAGGTGCCATCTTACTGCAGTTATGTGAGAAACCCTAAGCAAGAACCACCCAGCTAAGCCTAGCCAACTCATAGAACTTTGGAAAATAATAATTTGTTTTAAATAGTTTAATATGCAGCAATGGATGGCAGGAACGTATCCACACTGTTAAAAGTGATTGGAGCTGCAAGCAAGAACAAATTGATCTGAGAGAAATTTGTCTCTGTCTCTTCCTGCTGGCTCAGTATCTATGAGTATTGGGTAGCTTTTATTTATTTATTTATTTATTTATTTATTTATTTATTTATTTATTTTTACATTTCCCCACAAACATTTACTTTACATATCAAAGAATTTTTGCTCATACTCCATAGTTCTTGACAGTTAATAAAAAAACTTTTAAAATTTAAAAAAAACCCTGAGTTTTAAAGATAATCTTCAAATATTTGTTATAATTTTGTTTGTGACTCTATATCAACAGAGACAGTATGGTTTTAAATATTTTTGAGAAAATATTTACATGTCAGCTACTCAAACTGTTGAAAAACAAATGCCCAGCACACAATTCACACATAAACCTTCTCAGTTCAGCCCTGCCTACCAAATATTCTGTGATAAACCATATACTAGCAAAGATCAGTCTCTTTTTCTTACTTCAAAGTCTTCCTCAAGATAATCCTCTGGTTGTGGTTGCTCTTTTGCAATCTCTACTGATTACATTGCTGAGCTAGAGAAGTCCAGCTTATTTTATGGTATGAATTCTTTCAAACAGCTTCTCTAATCCTCTCTGCCAACCAGAACCATTTATGGTACCAGGTCATCTTTCCAAGAACTTCTGTTGGCTTACTTGAGATCTGCC